TTGATTACATACAGTTTATTACGTATTGTAAAAACATATACAATGGCATATTTTGGCCATGATTTTCAAATGAATTAAGAGAACAGTTGAAGGCCTTACCTAAAATCAGACTAAAATAATGTAATGATCTATCACGTTTATTATCACAAGCTGTCTAGCTTCCTTAAAACAATCAAATACACAGTTACCTTAGAAGTGAAATCAACATGAATAACAAGATGTGTGCTATAACATAGTATAGATGGATATACATGTGTTGACTGAAGTCTCCGTACAATATTTTGGTGAAGATTCAGATGAAAACAGAAGAGATGTTTATCGTTAACCTTGTAACACAGCTGCTTGAAGAACTACATTCACATCCACAGGATAGTTTATATACCTATGAAACAAAGACTATCATAAACCGGGGGAAATAATAAAAATATATAGAAATCAAGTCACACAGTAAAGCAATAAATACTTAAAATACTGATGATACTGATACCAGCTATAATAAAGATAAAAATAATACTTTCTACGAATATGTAAATTCTACTAATTGCAATACAATTCTTTATTTTAATAAAGGGAGAAACCATAATACCTGACTCATGCTATCATTTTCCCCTTAAAGGGCATATGTGAAGTAACAACTGAAATTTTTAAAAAGGGAAAATTAGCTCGCAAACCATCTCTCTAATATGAGTAAAAAAGGAAATCTTAAAATATATTTTCCCGCGAAAATCCGAAACCAGGATGTGTGACGTCATTTCCAGAACACGACCACAGCATTGTCTGCATTAAATACATTGTACATGTCGGATTCACTGCAAGACTACAGCGGCAGCGAAATCAGTGAAGTTTCATCGGATTACTCCGACGAGGACATTGGTACAACTTCTTCAGAGGGTGCCTATGTCTTCGAAGAGTTGAAAGAAGAGGAATATCAAGGGTTGATGGTTGCTGGACCGTACATGCACGAGCCCGACGCTGTGGATATCGTGGAAGTTGTGCTATCTCGTCTGCACCCGTGGCGCAGACCTACATCCATTCGCGAGTGGAAGGGCATCGGTATTTATTCGTGTTGTGCTTTTTGGGGTGTACCTACCCTACCTCTGTGTAGTAAGACATGCACACTTGCAATGCACTCGGCACACTGTGTCGTACCCACACAATGAATGTTTGCTACGCCGCCAAGCGCTCTTTCAGTTTGTTTTGCGCTGTTGTGATCATGACAAATATAAATTGGAAAAGGCCTAACGTTTTGCGAATCCCATGTCGTAAACCATTCTGTTTCAGTGTTTCAGACAAAGTACACTGGTTGGCGCAGGCTGAAAATTGCTCTGTTTGGCATGCACAAAACGTGTCCACTTCCTTGCTTTGTCGTGGTCTTTTGGCCATTCAAATAGCTGGTAACATGAATGGGAACAATAAATTGGTACACAACGCCGCGGCATCTTTGGTTACAAACTTTAATAGCTTGAAACTGGGACAATTCCGTGATATCCTTGACTCGCGGGTGCAGTGTGTATCACGCTATTCAACAAGATTCTCCCTGGTCCTGGGAATGACGTCACAACCGGGGTTTGCCGCAGAACGCCGAGCTTTGTACCTTCGTTTCTAAGGGCGTTGCTAAGGGATTTTAGGGGATACCAGAGGGTCTCTTTTATTTATTTATTTATTTATTTGTTGCATGAATAGGCTAAGCACACATTAATGAACAATATTCAAATAAAAACAATGCACAATAATTACTTCACATATGCCCTTTAAAAACAGCTTTCAGGTAAAGTGTCTGTAAACCCATGGTTCTTATCAAAATATGAGTACAGTGCCTACACTTACTTGCGGCAGACGAGATCTGAATTTGTTGGAATTGGTAAAGTATTTGAGTGAAATATTAATTCATGGGTCAAAATGAACACACATACACACACACACATTATAGCATACTACATAACAAGGTATCATGCAAGCTCGCAGACCGCATGGAGCGTGGTTCATGAATGAATACTGGTGAGCAATAGTGATAAACTGATGTGGCTGTACACTTTTATTGAAGAACACACGATATGCTGGAGTATAAGAGCACCACGCCCTGCGATGGCAGGCCAGGCAGAGGGTGAGAATATTTCACTCAAATACTTTACCAATTCCAACAAATTCAGATCTCGTCTGCCGCAAGTAAGTGTAGGCGCTGTACTCGTATTTTGATAAGAACCATGGGTTTACAGACACTTTACCTGAAAGCTGTTTTTAAAGGGCATATGTGAAGTAATTATTGTGCATTGTTTTTTCTTTGACTATTGTTCAGTAATGTATGCTTAGCCTATTCATGCAAAAAAAAAAGAAAAAAAAGAAGAGACCCTCTGGTATCCCTAGTGAGTGAGCTGGAGTGAATGACAGCTTGATATTGATGCAAAAAGAAAAGAGAATAGAGAATCTGAGATTCTCGAAGGAAGAAAGAGAGAAGAACTGATGGCAGCTAGCTACCTAAAATGAAGTATTAGGGGAAGGTAAAGAAAGGTGGGGGGTGTAACCCCTTGCTGGGCATTAATTGGGCTTAAACAGTCTGTTGCAAGTCAGTTGGTTCTGGTGCATCTCGGAGGTTATATATGGGCAATAATTTCCTTTGTTTCCTCAGCCGGCCGGAGTGGATAGCGCCCTTTGCCTTATTTAATCATGTTAATATTACATACTTTTCTATGTACATAAATAAGATAAAAGCGGTTAAATATTGTAGTTCCCTTCCCCTCAAGTAGATTCTTATGTCTCTGTATATAGATCCATAAATATGGAACCTTGTGTCTACATGTACGTACATACATATGTACACACAGCATGTATTATATTTTTATTTTTATTTTTCTAAACACTCCTATGGCGATCTGCCACTGCGATCTCCGGGTGACCGGGGCTCGCAAAGGCAGACCTGCCTGGAGGATGAGAGATATCCTTCCCGACGGATTGGGATATCTTTTTTTTTCTTCTTTTTCTTTTAAGGCCTTTAAACCTATTTATAATTACACATACATACACACGCCCGCTGGTCTGCACATACATTCATATTGCACATGTATGAACGTAAATAATCATATAGTTACCTATGTGTGAGTACATATACAAACTCACAAAACATGTGAATATACAGTCATACACATAAATTCATGCTCACAAACGTACATACGCGTGGATATGCGTATGTATACATGAATGGGTGACCTTATGTGTTATATGTACATACACACATGCATATACCATACAGATACACACATATATGTGCACACATATGCAGCTGGACATATATGCGCACATACCCAAAACCCGTCTTCATTCGCCTCTCTATCCTTCGTCTCGATTTCCTCACACGAGCCAGAGGAGATCGAGTCGTCGGCTGCGAAAGGCTGGTGAGGTGACAGTATCTAACTCCTCCATGTTGCAATACTGTCCTAGCGCAATATTGCAACCTTCGAGGATTGTTGGAGGCAGTTTCGATTTATTATTTACATTTACAATATGTTCATTGACAGGTTCATATGGGTCTACACAGATTTTTATGTCTGTTATCTTTCTTTGATCTTGTTTTCCTCTGGATGTTCCTTTCGTCTACAGGTTGTATATTTCGTGAGTACCTGGGGAACTGCTTGGGTATGGAATGGTTGTGTGTGATCGTTTGGGGATTTGTGCTTATTTTGCATCCCGTATATCCTGAAACCACCTGTCGGTTTCCTGGTCAATATCTGTTGTTGGTTTGCCCTCAAGATTTCCCATTGGCTTTTCTTCTAAGAATTCTTTATACCTCTCCCATTTAGCGCTTTTGTAGTCTGGTCTCGGAGTAGCTGCAATAAGGATACGGTTTGTGGATAGGTCTAGTATGATTGGTATGTGGTAAGGTTGCCTGGAGTGATACGAGTATTAAGATTGTCATACCTGTTGCTTATAACAATATCTGAGTTATGTCTTATGAGGGTTGGGAAATCTGGGCCGAGATGATTTAGCCTTCCATCTGCCATAAGCCTTGTTATGCTATTCCCGACATAGTTATCAGAATGTCCGAGTGTCCTGTGTCTAGCGTTTACGTCACCAAGGAAGTATACTGGTATGCATAGCCTTAGTAACCTTAAGATGTCTGGGAATGGTAGGAATGGTCTACGAGGTGGTAGGTAGCCAGTTGCCAGTACTATGGGATCCCTGGTTGTATCTAGTTTGACAGCTAGAAATTCGTTGTCAAAGTCATCTAGGATCTGGTGTTGGAGCCCCTTCCTGATACCAAGAGCTACGCTGTCAGATCTTCCTCCAGACTGGTACATGCTGTAGGTGAAGATCTTTATTCTCTCATTGTCATTTTGGACATGGCTGTTTAGGAGAATGATATCTGGGATGTGTGCAGCGTAGGTGTTACATAGTTCATGTTTTCTGTTGTGCCAGTGAAGGACATCATGCTGTATTACACTGAGAGACATTATTTGGCTGTCTTGGATGATAGTTGTGTTGTTTCGGAGTATTCATTTCTGATACCTTTTAACTTGTGTCTGCCCTGTACCATTTTCCCATGAATTTCAATAGAACCTGCTTAGAGATGTCTTTTAATTTTCTCCTCTCTGTGTATGTAGTTTCTGTTAGTGCAGAAGAATTTGATGTTGCCTGTTTTGATTTCCTTCCCAATCATGATCTCATCATAGTTGGTGTATTTTTTGGGGTCATGGGCATAGAGTTGTAGGCCGACATCTCCCGGGTCAGCAGGAATTCCTTCATATAGGAGTTAAGTACGTGGCTTGAGTTTCCTTTGGTCTTTGCCTGAGGTTTCAGTCTGTTGCAGTGGGTTGATTTCTAATTCCTCCTCTTGGGCAGCGTTATTGCTGTTCATTACTGAGATGGTTGTCTCTAATGCCTGGACATGCGATAGCTCGCTGGTGGTGCTTGCTGTCGAGATGGATGCATGTCTTACTTTTGGGCAGATGGAGGGTTGCTCATCAGCATATTCTGGGATAGGTTCATCGGGGTGTCTGGACTTTTGGTGCTTTTGCTGAAGGCTGGTTTGTTGTTGGAGGAATGATCTGGAAGATGGCTGGAGAGTCAACATCATTGGGAACTTCAACCTCTGGTAGGTTAGCTGTTTTCAGACCCTTTTTGACTTCTTCAGCATAGGTGCCTGGTCTTCCTGTGTTAGCGAGATGTGAGTTGATCAACACAACCAGTACCTTCACTGACAGGTCACTGGGAAGAGCCAGCACCTGTTTTGTAGATGCAACTTCCTTGAGGGCTGCATCCACTACCTTTTTTGCTGTATGGTAGTTCTGACCTTTCTTTTTCTTTTGTATTCTTTTCTGTTTCTATTTTTTTGATGACTTCCTTTCTGGTTTTACATTTGCCTGAAAGGATTCTATGGTTCTTGCAACA